GCAATAATAGCTTTTCTAGTTGGTGGCAACAAATGCAATAATAGCTTTTCTAGTTGGTGGCAACAAATGCAATAATAGCTTTTCTAGTTGGTGGCAACAACTACAATAATAGCTTTTCTAGTTGGTGGCAACAAATACAATAATAGTTTTTCTAGTTGGTGGCAACAACTACAATAATCTTTTCTAGTACAGTACTCCCTCTTTATCGACGGATTTTTTATCGACGGTTTCGATTATCGATGGATTATTTAGACGGATTTTTATTTTGGCTTTATTTGAACTCTGCGGGCCTTGTTTGTACTTTCGCCGCTAGGCGGCACTAGTGGCGTGACTAGCGTCTACCCGCGGCCCGCCTTCCCTGAACACAGACATCAGCCAAGCCGCGTGGGCAAGTCTTTGATTTTGAACTTTTGCTGGTGGTTCATCACATCAACTTATATCACCATGCCTCCCAAACGACCTGCTGCTCCCTCTGGATCTACACCTAAGAGGGCAAGACGAGTGCTGACGCTGAATGAGAAGAATGAAGTGCTGAAACAACTCGACAGCGGTATGAGCTACGCAGCTGTTGGCTGCCACTTTGGGCTCAACGAATCCAGTGTGCGTGGAATTAAATGACGTCCAAAGGATCTGAAGCACGCTTTAGCTTCAAGTGCACCAGTGACATCAAAAGTGACAAGCCATGTGCGTGATGATGCCCTCATTAAAATGGAAAAAGCACTGAACATTTGGATAGAGGACCTAAACCGCCGCCGCATACCACTTGACTCGAAATTTATTAGGCAGAAAGCTAAGGAACTTTATGATAAGTTTTCTAAAGGTGATGATCATGGTGTTGGTGATGGTGATGATCAGGGTGATGGTGATAATCAGGGTGATGGTGATAATCAGGGTGATGGTGACAATTTGAAAAAATGTGCAGCTAGCAAAGGATGGTTCGAGAAATTCAGACATCGTTATGGGCTGCATAATATAAATGTGACTGGCGAAGCAGCATCAGCAGACACTGTGGCAGGGGAAGCATACCCTGCAGAGTTTGCTAACCACATAGAACAAAAGGGTTATAGGCCGGAACAAGTTTTTAATGCTGATGAGTCAGGCCTATGGTGGAAGAAGATGCCACGCCGAACCTACATCTCTAAAGAGGAAAAAAGTGCCCCTGGATTTAAAGTTGCGAAGGACCGAGTGAAAGTGATGCTATGTGGGAATGCGGCAGGGCATATGATTAAGCCCATGTTGTTATACACTGCCGCACGACCTCGGGCTCTCAAAAATAAAAACATGAACTTGCTACCAGTTTTCTACAGGAACAACAAGAAAGCGTGGATGACATCTGATTTGTGCGTGGATTGGCTGAAAAACTGCTTTGCTAGAGAGGTGAAAGATTATCTGGATGAACTTGGCATGGAGTTCAAAGTGGTATTATATCTAGATAATTGCCCTGGCCACTCTGAAGAACTCAAGACTGCCCACCCCAACATTGAGGTGGTTTTCTTGCCAAAAAACACCACCTCCATCATCCAGCCAATGGACCAGGGAGTCATTGTCGTGTTTAAGGCTAAATATGCAGAGAAGACTTTCAGCATGATTCGTGAGTGCCTTGATAAGGATGCTGATGTGACACCCAGAGAAATGTGGAAGAAATTTGATATTGCACAGTGCATAAACTTCATCGCTGAAAGCCACAATGAACTGTCGCAGAACTGTGTCCGATCATGTTGGAAAAAATTGTGGCCTGAAATTGTCCCAACATTCACAGGGTTCCCAACAGCCGAGCCTCAGTTACGCAACATAATAACTATGGCAAATGAAGTTGGAGGTGAAGGGTTCTCTGACTTAACAGCGGCAGAGGTGCAAGAAGAGTTATTGGGAAATGTTGGGGATCCATTTACAAGTGATGAACTAGAACAATTAGTGGAGCTGCAGGATGAAACAGAAGATGAAGTGAGTGATGATGAAAATAAGAACTTAACTTTAGATAATCTTGGTGAAGTAATAAGAATGAGTAAGGCCCTCTCTGCTCATCTCTATGACATTGATCCCTCCCTTGATAGGTCCCTTAAAGCAAAGAGAGCTATTGAAAATGTTATGTTGCCATATATAGAACTGCAGAGGGAAATGAGAAGCAAGAAAGCACAGACCACCATCACCAACTTCTTCAGTCGCCGAGTGCCTGCCATCGCCGAACCTGCCGGCATCCTGCAACAGGAGGCAGAAGCTGCCGACACCTCACAACAACAAGACGTAGAAGCTGCCGGCACCTCACAACAACAAGACGCAGTACCTGCCCACACCCCTCAAGAAGATGCAGACCTTGACTCATCATACTCATCTGACTGGTCAGGCTTTTAATAAGCCTCAATCATCACACGTGTATATACTGTACACTGTATTGTTTACTGTAAGGACCGATGTTCACTTCAATAAATGAAATCGTAAGTTTGCTAGTATTTTTGTCCACTTATTATATTATTATTTATACACTATTATTTAAGGTTATGTGTAAAGGAAACGCATTAATGCTTAAAGGTACATTTATTCAACATATGCTAATAATAGTTAGAAAAATTACGTAACCATCACGGTATCGACGGTTTCTTTATCGACGGCCGTCTACAGAACGTAACCCCCGTCGATAAAGAGGGAGTACTGTACTGCACTGCAGTTTTCTGATTTTCAACTCCCGATATCTGTTATGGGTAAATACGCCAAAAGATGTCCTACGTGAAAATAGTCACGTTTTGTCTGAATTTACCATTAGAAACAAAAAATAATAATAATACTGTACTTAAAAAGAGGCATCAACTTTTCATTTTATTTATTTTTTCTATATCTCCAATCATAAATCAACTGTAGTGGGCAGGACATGAAGGACGAGGGAAATTATGGCGAAAAACTGATATGACAGTAAAATGATATCTGTACATGCTTTGTACGTGAAGAAATTCATTATTTACCATAAATACTCCTCTGAAAAATCTGCCGAGTCACTATGTGTTGTCTGTTTATAACCGACCCGAGTGTATTCTCACATCCACAATAAAACCTAAAATTACACCAAGACACTTAACAGAGTTGTTTTCATTGGCCCCAAATATCAAAATAATTACTTTCTGTTTAATATGGGGGGTTTGGGGGCAGAACCCCATGGCTAGGAAGTTCGGTAAGGTTAGATAGGTTTCTTTGGTTGGACAGGTCAGGTTCCCTGAGTAAATATGCATTTTCAACCAATATTGCTCTTGAGTTAAGCAATGTGTTTTTCCGGGGGGGGTTTTCGATTTTAATATCGATTTTTGGGTAAATTTGCATTGCCACACCGTTCACTTTTAGCAAGTAAAAAATATATTTTTCTAGTGTATTTGTGTGTGCTTAGACCGAATATGACCTTCATTTTTGGCGGAATTTAGCCTTTTTTTTTTTAGCGATTTTTTTTCGTTTGACGTTTTCCGAAAAAAAAAGTGGCTAAGCGACTAAAAAATACACAAAAAAAAACTAGAAAAACAAAAACCTAACCTAACCTAACTTAACTTAACTGACTCACCATATGATGGAATCACCTATTTCTTACCTTATTGGCCTAGTTCTTGTTCGTCATTGCATTCTGGGATTCTTACACAACGCCACATATGTTGGTCGTTGCGATATTTACATTCAGTCTTGCTCTTAGTACACTTTACTGAGGTTGGAAGAACACCTTGCGATCGAAAAAATGCTATAGTTTCTACGTTTTTTTCTCCAAAAACTCTCAATAAGCTCCATATACTTTAAGTGACACCCAACGCAGACTTCCATGGTCGGAACTGAACTTGAATTTCAAAATATGAGACCCAAAATAAAACTCGATTTTGATTGGGCCAAATATACTCATAATTAAACCCAAAATCATTTTAATTGGTTCCAAAAGCAAAAACGCTTTTGATTGGCCACGTGACGTGTACGGGTACGCATGCGGGTCATGATTTATGAAAGAGACGCAAGACACGCAGTGTTGGGTGAGAGGCAGACTATAATGGCGGGAGGTTAATAGAAGAAAATAAAAGATTTTGGGGATAAGCTATCTCCGTTATTATACATTTCCGCCGATTATGTAATAGATGAAAATTATATTATAATTAGACGTCTTATTCGAATATGATAATAGATAAGTGGTAGGAATGAACGGTGTGTAAACGCAATAATACTTATTTTTGTTGGAAATCACTCGTTTTTATAAAGCCCAAAGCCTTCCTACCAAAAAAGTGAATTCCAATAAAAGTCAATATTAAAATCGAATAAAACACAAAAAAATCCAGAAAACCACATTGCTTATATAAAAAACCAGTCTAGCCTAGCCTAACCTAGAGTAAATACCTTGGTAGTGTTACACTTTCAACTAATTTGTAGCCAAAGGATTTAACTTCATAAATTAATATATCTCATCAATAGCTACCTTCTGAACCCAACTTTTACTTGTCGTAATTGAATAGGCGACATATTGCTCAACTAGAGAGCCATATTGGTTGAAAGTGCAATAATACCATTCTGTGCATTGTTGTAACGATTCTATTACTTACTATCATCCAGAGAACATCTGTGGAAAAAAGAACGAAATTAAAAATTTATTCAGGTGGTACAGCTATTTTCTGACAGTACCAAAAAAATATTGAATTGTCCTCTACTAGAAATTGCGCAGTATATGTACAGGTATGTTACCATCTACATGTACTAGCCAAATGCAGACATTCTAATCCCTTTTGACACCCGAGGTGCTGGAGTGCAGGCACTAGTGTGGTGGCCCTCTTTTATACGTTCTCAGATAACAGAGTCTTTAGTATGCATTGGGATCTGACATGGTGAGATATCAAAGTATATATATATATATATATATATATATATATATATATATATATATATATATATATATATATATATATAATTTCATATATATAATTTACTGCATTTGCTGATTAAAGGACGCAATACTACATTCATAAATGCCAACCGTAGATAAGTGTACTTACAAGTAGCAAAGTTTCGATAAAGTAAATTCAATCAGAAAATATTAACCCTGAAGTTCCCTTTCCATTACAGTCACACGTGCCCTTTAGATACACACGTTTGTAAAGTAAAGGGTATTAAATGCGATTATCAACTACTCGCGTCTTCCAGCCGCCTGTTGACAGATCAGCGTTGTTTACAATTAAACCGCACAGCTGGGCTGGGAGGGGGACCGAGCCGGCCCCCGAGCCCAAGTCGGTCAAGTTCAAAACCTGCCGGGACCGATTCCGAATCTCTAACCCATTGTTATTATTTTTTTTTTTACGGGGATTAGCCTGTGGGGTACGGGTTATTTGGTTCACACTCAGGATGGGATGGAGAAAGGAAACTCACAATGTGCTCTCTGTATACATATTGTGTTGGATGTACAGTGCAGCTTCGTGCTGGGAAGGCAGCATAGTTACAAGCGTTGAGTAGAGAGAGCTGGTTGGTGAGGATGCTCAGAGGAGGACAAGCTTGTGGGTCGCCATGCTCGCCGGCGGGAGCGAGGGCCGCCAGGCAGAAACGGAGGAGGTGGTGTTACTTGAAGACTGGCTGTAGGTAGGAAGTGAGGTAGGTCACCACGAGGTCAGGTCTTAAATAGCGGAGGTAGGCGTGGCTTAATAGTTGACCTCCGTCATGTAAGGCGGTGCTGGTTGACCTAGACCACGAGGCATACACTGGGGAATTCGCGGGGTCGGCTACTCAGCGACAAGCGTTTGTAGGGGAGGAATCCACTACAATACTCCCTCCTTCCCTCCAGGCGGTGTAGGAGACTTGTTGTCTGCAGGGTTGCACGGCACATGTGAGGCAGAACGGGCAGTGCATGGCACATGTGAGGCAGAACGGGTGGTGCATGCCACATGTGAGCCATAACGGCGAGGGCGTGGATGAGCCGGCCGCTAGTGGAGGCAACTGTCTAGACTCTAGACACACAAGATCTGTGGGAGAAGAGAGGGAGAAAGAGAGTTGTGGAGGTGATGAATGTTGTGTTTTCCTCGCGACAGGTACAGAGTCCTCAGATGCGCCTGCTGGGGTGTGTGGGCTTGGCTCAGGAGCAGGGGCTGCGTCAGCAGGAGTGGAGGAGGGTCCGTGACAGCAGCTGGGTCCACGACAGCAGCAGGTTGCAGGACAGTAGCAGGGGGTACCTGAGGGCGAAAAGAGGGGTGTGTGGGTCCGCGTCAGGAGCAGGGGCAGGGGTTACTGCTGGGCCGTGGCGGCGTCTGAGGCAGGACGGGTGTGTTGGGGTCGGTAGGACGTGGTGCTTGGGGCAGGAAGAGGAGCGGCTGTCTGCTTAGAGTTACAGAGCTGCTTTAGGGTGTCTAACCTGCGGTGTAGAGACAGTAGTTGTAGAGCCGATGAGAGCTGCTTCTGTGTGGATAAGCCAGTCTTCCATGTTTCTTGAAGACTGGGAGAGTGATCGGTTTCTCCTCTATCCTGTGTGAGTGCGAATCTCCTGGGGTCACCATTTGTGGGGTACGAGTTATTTGGTTCACACTCGGGATGGGATGGAGAAAGGAAACTCACAATGTGCTCTCTGTATACATGTTGTATTGGATGTACAATGCAGCTTGGTGCTGGGAAGGCAGCATGGTTACAAGCGTTGAGTAGAGAGAGCTGGTTGGTGAGGGTGCTCAGAGGAGGACCAGCTTGTGGGTCGCCATGGTCGCCGGCGGGAGCGAGGGCCGCCAGGCAGGAGGAGGAGGAGGTGTTGCAAGCTGGTGGCTGTGGGTAGAAAGAGATAGGTCGCCACGAGGTGAGGTCTTATATAGCGGAGGTAGGCGTGGCTTAATAGTTGACCTCCGTACATGTAAGGCGGCGCTGGTTGCTGACCTAGACACGAGGTGCGGCTGGAGAATTCGCGTTGGCTACTCAGCGACAAAAGCGTTTGTAGGGGAGGAATCCACAAGAGAACCATACAGAAATACAAAAATGAAAAAAAAGATCAAAAGTGAGAAACTTTATATGTATGCTGTGTTGTTAATAGTAAGTGAAACAATTTTGACCTGCAATTACTGAATTGTCCTCTAATACAAATTGCACAATATATGTACTGGTATGTTACCATCTACATGTATTACCCAACTGCAGACATTCGAATCCCTTTTAACACCTGAGGTGCTGGTGTGAGGGGGCGTTTTCCAACACCTACACCACCCTCATCTTACTTACTTCTCTTAGTTCTTACTCTTACTCAGTTCTGTCACCTATTCTTTTGGTAGCATGGACATTCTTTTGGTAGCATGGTCATTATTTTGGTAGCATGGTCGAGGGTCTAGGCACATGGGTATGGTAATTCTGGTATCAAGTCACTTGGACGGAAATAAAGGTACTGTAAAATACTGTGGGAGAAATGAATACACCTAAAGTACTCTAAAAACAAATTTATTAATATGAAATCAAGAGGAAAAGATATATTATTAATCTTATAACTACCAGGTTCAACTCCTGGGCTTATTGCAGACTCAATACTTTCCTCTTTACTTATTTTCTTATTTCTTTACTCAACAGTAATTACTCAGATCTTACATTCTTACTGCACACAACCTTACTGGTGTTACATTACATGGCATAATAGGACCAGTTCCTGGGCCCTACTCACAATACATAGTACATGGCACTCATTGTAGATTACTTTACTCACATACTCGTTAATACTGACACTAACATATACAGGGGTCCACTACCCAACATGGGATAATTATTTCCAACTAATTATCCCTAACATACATGTTACAACCCTCTCTGTGGACATATACTTCCAAGGAGTAACCCAGGGTACAACACTGGGGCTCACGACCGTTGTTGTGGTCGGTAGTAGCCAGACACATGGCGAGTCTGGGGTCTGGCCCAACGAGGCAGTAGAGCACATTAATCAGGCCGCAATGGTGCCATCGTTTCATATCTGGTCCCTGCTGGGTATCTACTGTAACGACCACGGTATTACACGTCAGTTAGCGCCAAAATCAAATGATTCATATTACGCTCAATAGCTCACAAAACATGTAACTCGGCTTTCGTTGAGTCCTCCATCTGAGGAGTCCGTTTTCTCATCACTTCAAGGCACCTCAGCCCTCCGTTATCCAATTTTCTCTGACTTGCTGAAACCAACCTCTCTATAAAATGAATTTGAGTGTGAGAGAGAACACCCTTGTTTTGAGTCAACTTAGATATGTCTGTTTACAGTTGAAACATTCAAGATCCATTGTGAGTGGGGTAGAACGCTTCAACTGTCCTTATTGTTAGTAAAACGTGTCAAGTAAGTGAGTGTCGAGTTTGCCAGCTAGTGGCGTATTTTATGTCGTCCGTGGGGGTACCCATGAGTTTCTGATCGCGCCTGAAGTTATATCATTTTGTCGCCCCTACATCAGAGAATCTGATGTTTATAGTTTAGTTAGTGTCAGTTGTCTGTTTAGGAAAGTCATTAATCTCCTGAACTATTCTGTCAACTGGTATAATCTCCAAGATCTAGCGCCTCCCCGTGAATAGCTCCTTGTTCGCCTCAGGCCTGAGCTTGCAGAATTAACGTTATCGACGTGTATATTCCACCTTTTCCTGGCAAGCTCGACCTCTGATTAGATTATATGAATAGCCATAGGAAATTACCCTGATCAAGAACACCGGAGTTCATAACTAAGTATACAGTGATCCAAAATGGTAGAAAAGTTATGTTGTTGGTAAGATCGACCCTTCTGGTATGAATACGGAGGCCCAAGCTGCCCCGCGGGTGCACGTATATACCTCTACACGAGGGAGAATCACGCATTCGTGACTCTTCCTCAACGTCTCTCCAGGTATGTTAACGTGTGTTCCCCGCCGCCTATTAATTCAGTTTAACTTAGTCAATTTTGGTGAATATCAGTGTTCATGTGTTAACATAGTGAATTCTGTGCCAATTAAGTCGAGTAACGTAGAGATTTAGATATCGTCTGAACCGTTGCCAGGCGTATGTTTTGTATAGTTGAAGTTAGACCTTTACACATTTGTGACTCTTCCTCAATGTCTCCAGTGTGTTGAGCTGAATACTCATCGGCTAACGTGGGTCGGTAACCGGGTTGGACGATGCCGTTAATTCGACAGAATTAAACTAGGGAGTCCGTTTCCTGCAAATTAGGCGGCCACTCCCTGAGTGTGTGTCGGTCTACAACCGACCCCTAACAGCGATCTTCATTTGTTGTAGAAACCAGCGTTACCCTGGGGCACTCCTCACAGTTACATAGGCCTAAGTATTATAGTATCTTGTTTGGGGGATAACTAGCCGAAATATAGTATCCCAGGTTAAGTATTGAACCACTGAATGAGAATTAAAAGTGCCATGTTGTTCCTTGTGAATTAACAGGAGGTATTGTATGTTGAAATAATTGTGGAGTTGTCCAGTGTGTTATGTATTCATTGGTAGTGACCATGAAATGATAATCTGAGAGTATAATGATATAACCAAGAAGTGAAGAGTTAATTTGCTACTTGGTAAGGTAAGACCTGAGGGTCCAGTAATATCTGGTGTATACCCAGTACTGAATATCATTTGGCAGTGACAATACCACAATTGCCAATTGAAGAAATAAGTATTTGGAGGTATTTAATGAGGTAATAAGTTCTTGAAGTGTTTGATGACTTACTAAATAAATTGCAGTTCTGTTTTGTCTGAGTGAATCTAAGATGCATCTTATCCAATCACTGTGTTAATAAATATTGAATTAGTAATCTACGAGTATCACCACTCTATCCTTTCCCACGTTGGTTCTCAGAAAATAACTAACTCACGTGCCTAGAAGCTTGCTACCTAACAGTTAACTAAGATATGTTATATTCTAGAAAAATCCTGGGTGGTGGCAGGTCTACCGGTGTAAGTATAATAAGTGTGGTAATAAGAGACATGGTTTCCCAGGTTAATCCATGGTTTAGAATATAAGTAGAACGAAATATATGGAAGAGATTATAATATATGAAAGGAAATTAAAAGAAAGAACATTGACTTGGAGAATATAAGCAGAGAAGCATAAGAGTTACTTATGTAAGAATATATAAGAATATAAGGTATATAGAGATAAAGAACATATAAGAATATAAGCAAGAATATATAAGAATAAGTATATATGTAAAGAATTGAAGAAGGATAAGTATATAAAACAGGATACTCATTGGAAAGAATGCTACAACGAACATATAAGTATATGAATAAATAGAATACTAACAGAAAAGAATATCTGGATGG